CTCACCTCAGCCTCCCAAAGGCGTGGGATTACAGGCTGAGCCACCGAGCCCGGCTTCACACATTTATTATTCATTTAATAAACACCCAATGAGACCCACCTGGAGACAAGTCCAGGGCTGGATCCCCATTAAGGCATTTGCTCGGATGAGATAGTGGACTAAAACCCTATCCAGTTATGACTGTCATACTTTCACTGCTATTACCTCCCCTGATTATCACCATATCTCTAAGAAGCAAGCAGGCCAAGAACGATGAACCCCATTTACAGATGAGTCTACTGAGGCTTAGAGAAAGATCAGTGACATTTTGAGGCCACACAGCCAATCTAAGACCTGCCCCACCTCACACTGCCCCAGTCTCATTCTTTCATGCCAGTTACTCCAAGGAAATCATCCATTTTCATCAGAGAATACATGGCTCAGATCTAAGTATGAGGCTGCCAAGGTCCCCTCAGCCCCAGGTTCCATCTAGAACCCCACCTATCCTGCATCAGCATGAAATATCAATTTTGAAATGTGACCCCATGTCTGCCAAGAACCCAAAGACATAAAGGCAGTTCTAGTTTCCCTGGGTGTGGGCGGTAGAAGGGGAACACTTGGGCAATGGCAAGTTCATTTGATAAAAGGAAGATATATCCAGGTGTCTCAGCTCCTCACTCTTACTGAAATAGACATGAGCTATACACACAATCAAACAGCATGCACACAAACACACATAATCGCAGACAAGCACACACACATCTCATGCACAAACACGTATGCAGACATTCCTGGCAAGACAGTCACAAAAGCCACCCGATTCTATTCACAGTCTCAGTGTCATTATCCCCAAAGTTCCACACACAGACATTCTCACATTCATGTTGCAGAGACATCTACATACAAACACTATACTCACACACATCTGTATATTACACATGTTCATTTGACAAATATTTATTAAGCATTCAACCTACTAAATACCAAACAAAGTTCCTAGCTACATAAAATTTACATTCCTGATGGGGGAATGTATAACAACAAATAAAAATGGTGTAATAACATCAGGAATAAGAACTCTGAAGAAAAATAAGTCGGGGAAGGGAATGACAAGAGGAAAAGGAGAGATTATTTTAGGACGTGTGGTCAGGCAAGGGCTCTCTGATATGTGAGCAGAAACTTGAAGTCAGCCATGTGAAGCTCTGGGGAAAGCCTTTCCAAGCGGAAGGAACAGCAAGGACAAAGGCCCTGAGGCATGAACAAGCTTGTCTGTGTGGAACAATAAGGAAACCAGGGTAGCCGGAGCACAGGCAGAGGAGGTGACACTGGAGAGAGAGGAGGGGCTGCTTACCAGAGGGCTCCATGGCCCGTTGTGAGGGCTATATTCTGAGTCCCTTGGGGAATCCAGAACAGGGAAGTAACATGATATGATTTGTTTTTAAAAGCTCACTTTAGCTGCTGCATAGAGAAGAGACTGCAGAAGAGCAAGAAGACAAGCAGAGAGACCAGGCTGCCAGACCCCACTGCAGAAGTCCAGGCCAGCGACCACACTATCTTCACTAGGATGGAAGGAGGTGGTGAGACATACTTGATTCTGGACAGAGTTGGAAGGGAGAATGTACATGACTGCTGAGAGGTTATTTATAAGATGCAAGAGATAGAAGGCAAGTAAAGGATAAGTTTTTGGCCTGAGCTGCTGAGTGAAGATGGGTCCATTCCTGAATGGGGAGTATTGAGTTAGAGAAGCAGGTCAGTGCTAGAGCGGGGGAAGAATAGAAATCAAGGTTTGTGGGGATATGGCAAGAGTGAAACATCAATCCCACCTCCGAGTGTGAATGTTGAATTGGCAGTTGTATATAGGAATCTGGAGCTGAGGGCTAGACTTCCAGATTTCTGTGTCAGTACTCACACCTTAACACCTTCCAACAATATTCACTTACAGAAGCCCACTCTACACACCATAAGCATGACCCCAAAGGCAGAAATCTAAGATAAAAGAATGATAGACATGGTGATATTGTGTTTAAACGTCCATTTGACAGTATATACCATAAACAAAGCTAAAAGGCAAACAACAAATCTGGAAATATATTTACCATAGACTATATATGACATAGTATAATTGATAAAAAATAAGTAACAAAAATTAAAAAGAATGTTCATAACATATAAGTAACTCTTATATAGAAAGAAAAAGATAAAACCAGATATGGTAGCAAACTACTGTAGTCAAGCTACCAGAAAGCTGAGGCAGGATGATCACTTAAGCCCAGAAGTTTGAGACCAGCTTGGGGCAACAATATGAGGTTCTGTCTCTTAAAAAACAAACAAACAAAAAAGATGGTCACCTTAGTAAAAGAGGAGATAAGTAAATGAACACAACTCATTAAGGAACAAACATAAATAGATAACTGACATGACAAAAAACTCAGCCTTATTTATAACCAAATGAATAAAACAGAAAGAAATAATAAGAGATCATTTTAAACCAACCAGATTAGAAGATAAATACTAATCAGATTAGAAAATAAAATAAATACTAATCAGATTAGAAAAGAAAAAATATTACCCAGAGTTATCTAGGGGAATGAATATGGTCCTTCTCCTTCCTCAGACGAAAAACCTCTTTATTCCTTGCCTCAAAAGCTTTTAAAGAGTACTTCATCTTTGATACAACAATTCCATTTCTAGAAATGTATCCTTCAAGTATGCAGAGATATGTATACCATAATATTTATCATAGCACTACTTGTGGTGGTAAATAACTGGAAACCTAACTGTCCATCGAGAAAGGATTATTCAATAAATTAGGGGACAGGCATGCCTGCAACGGAATATGGTGCTACAATTTAAAACAATGATGTGTATCTGTATGTGCTAATGTTCACAATATATTGTTAGTGGAAGAAATAGGTAACAAAACATTATGCATGATGTGATCCCATTTTTGTAATGTATGTATATATATGCATAGAAAAAAATTCTAGAAGGTTATACCCTGAAATGTTAACAGAGGTTATCTCTGGGAGATAGCAGATGGGATTACAGGTGATTTTCACGTTTATATTTTTTCTTTCCTTTTTATTGAGGGGTTGAGGGATAGAGGGAGGTATCCATGTATTCCAATGGATGTGGGGATGGAGCCAGG